GATACTCGCCGACGATGTGGCAAAGGATGAAAACTTTCCAGTAGAGTATGCTCGCCTCAGGATGGTGCCAGTATACTACGGTACATATATTGCTGCTTGCATCGCATACGGATGGTGCCTAGACAAGCGGGTGAACATTGCAGCCCCTCTTGTCTTCCAGATACTCAGTATGTGGTTTTCGTTGATGATGCGTTTCGTTATGTTAACACAGGACACAAGTCGGGTTCAATATCGTGATTGTATTCAACGCCATTCAAACCCTACTTGTGGACCTACTGCCGAGTCAAAGTTCCTCGGTTGCCGCATGCGTGAGTATATACTGCCTCTCAAACTTGAACCGGCATTGCTATACGATCGGCTAATTTCTCGAGTAGAATAACATCGTCCGGTGCTCGTTCGGTGCTGCGTGCGTGTCTGTCGTTGACCTCATATTCCAAGCAATTGGGGTCGGCTGGACGTATGTTCTTCTATCTGGTCTATGCGTTCTTGCCGGGCCTATTATTTTAATCGTAATCCGTATGGGCCCGAAGTGGAGGGCTAAACGTAGAGCAAAGCAAGTAGTTGCTAACTGATGTATGTAATGGTTTCTTGGAGCTTGCCTTTCAATGCTATCGGCTTTCAAATTCCCTTTGGAATTCCATTTCGTTCATACCTTTGATGGCGGTGCCAACCGTCCCTATATGACTTTATATACTTCTTCCTCTTGTATTATTACATCAGGCGCATGCAACAGATCACTTGGACTTGGTTGAACCTCCAGATACGATTCTACGGTTCCTCACGGGCTTGATGGGCACGACCACCCATTGCGCGCGTTTCCTTGCCTTGTCACCAATAATACATTCGTCCTCTTTCGTCAATCCCACCATACGCACGGGTCTGTACCTTTCCGGAGAATCGTCCACCTCTCCTTCCTCAGATCTGTCTGTCTCCAAAATCTCATTCTCCATCAAGTCGAATTCCCCCGTCTCGAAAATATCATTTGGACGAGCGCCCTTTGGAGGTCCCGAATGTCCTCCACTGCCGAACAGAGACAACGGCGACGTGATCGCGTTCGAAAACATTTCGGACGCGTTATCCATCATTGTGCGTGACTTCCGGAGAGGGAGGGCGGTGACAAAATACCCTTTGTCCTTCCAATTGCCGATCGCGGTTGCACGGTTGCCCGAGTTAGGGTACGTCGGGTCGACTTCGAAGGTGATGTTAATGTGCTGTGTTTCGGGATCATATGAGAAACGTGGAAGAGGGTGAGAGAAGGCGTTTGGGCAGGGATGAGTGATGGGCCTGCGGTGGCGTAGGACGAGTCGATCGTCTGGAGTTGCGCTGAGATTTTACTATCAAGGGGGGATAGCTAAAATCCTGAACTCACTTTCAATGTCTATAGCGTGACCGGATGATCTAGAGCACAATGCGCCATAGATATCGATGAAGAATACCTGCAGATACGGTCAGATAGACAGTAGCAAATATCACGATATTGCGTACTTGATTGTTGGCTTCTGGTCGCCTCATATCTAAGAACCACAATTCGCTTAGTTTAAATCTGGTATTCGAGTTCAATGTTGCGTCCCTCACCTTCCACCAATGATGACTCGTTCTCTGGCCATAAGATTAGCCCGGTACCATCCTCAACTCCGTTGGATTGAACGTCAAGCAACCTGTTCGTGGCAATGTTCTTGATTACAAAGTACCCGGATGGAAATCCGTAGGTTTCAAGGCTGAGCTCCATGGCGGGCGAAGTGTAATGTTCGTTGAAAGCGGTCTCGATGGGACTGAGATGCATTTCAGCGCTATCGGCTGAGGATCCTTAGCCGCAGGTTGAGGCCCAGAGTTTTATATCTGGGGCAATTAGCGTCAAAACGTCCATATGGTGATCAACAGTTCCCTGCGGCGCAGCTTATCTTCAAGGTGAATGAATTGAAGGTTGGAAAGGATATTTAGTCAACATTACAAGGTACTGCGGGCTGCTAAGCTGCCTTGAGCGTGCTGTTTACTGTGTAGGATAATGTGCTTCTCTATCTTCTTTGTGGCCGGAATAGCTCAGCTGGGAGAGCAGTAGACTGAAGCTCTTGACAGTGCGTATTCTAAAGGTCGGGTGTTCGAGCCACCCTTCTGGCACTTTTTTGAGTCCCCTAGTTCTCTACTTTACCTCCAGCAACGTTTTAAAGCAAGGGGAAACACGGAAGATGTGGGAAAGCATGTCTTCCACTATATTAAGATTTTTGCGGCCTAAACGCATGCAATTGCTCCACAACTAGCACAAGAGAATATCCAAGAAGACCACCAATGCGATGTTTTAGCTTCGTTGGGGTGTGCGAGGAAGGGAGGGCAGTAAATGAACTTCAAGTTCGCAAGCCAACGCTCACACAAGGCTACTACTTTACGCCACAAAGAAGAAGCAACGCCTTTTGGGAGTTGTGGAGCAGGATGCTTCTGTGACCACCTCTAAATGTGATACAGTGATCGACAGGCCCCGATCACACTCGCCACAACAGTTGTCACGAATCTGTGAAATGTAACCCACGCAGACGTTCGAACGCGGTCGGGCCAGTTTTTTCTTCTTCTTCTTTTCATAAATATATTCGAGCAGTCACTATTGCCCTCAATCATTTTTTTTCCATTACAGCACGCTGAATACTCTCGAATCCATTTCAATTACCACCACTGTATGCTGGTAGAGTACATCTATTGGTAGAAAGACTACAAGTTTTAGCTCCGCAAATTGCGGACCCACGCCCTCTCTCCCAGGTTTCTCACACGCTTGAGCTCTTGCCCGACCAATGGATAGAGCGGTAACGGGTCTCCTAAAAGGCATCCTGTCCACCGTAGTGTGCCCAAAGGCTCAACGAGACACGGATCGCTCCTATTACGTAGAAACTTGTAGCTCCATAAAACTGTTTTGGGGTCGTCGAAACCTCGAACAGGGGTAGACTTTTCTGTTAGAAAATACCAGTCAAAAGCGACGAGCTGTGGGCACACAAACGCGACGACTTTTGCCACTTGATCGGCATATTCCTCATTTCTCGCTTTCCAAGCTCGAATCATAAGCGTATCATCGTAGCTATCGAGCTCGTCCTCGTCCGCTAGTTCGAGCGCCTCCCGAATCCCGGCAGTAATCCTATTCGATATAAAAGGTCCAATAGAGCCCTCGAGTTCACCGAGAGTTAACATCTTCATTCGGAAGCGTTTGACGTCGTATGGCGGCTCCGCATCATCAAGGTATGGAACATACCGATTTCCGCGCCTCCCGTACTCATTTTGAAAACCCCAGCATGCTTTGAAACGGTACGTCTTAGCGACATACCAGTATAGAGCGAGCTTGCGGAGGTGACGTAGGTTACGCAGGATTCGACCAACCATACTCTCCTGTATCGAGTGTTTAATTAGATATCGAACTCGGAGTATAAAGCTGCTTACTGTCCATTCCATGAAGTGTGATGTAGAGGTATAATCCTCCACGTGGAGTCGGAGCTCCTCGAGATCCGGTGCAACCTGCGATAGGCGTTCAAGTGCTTTTATCACCCCCACATCATCTTCGTCCAAGTCGACAGTTTCGGGGGGATATTCACGCAACCCTCCTATGGCCAGAGAAATGCACTTGTAAAGAGGAGACATTGATGCGAATGGCGAGCTCCAGCGAGGAATATCGGGTTGAAGATGGGAGCGAACAAACGAAAATGAGTTGCATATTACTTGGACTCCGGGGACAATGTTGACCGGAAAGAGATCAGGCGGCACTGTGTCCGGTGGCTCATAGATTATCGTACACACTTTCGCCTCGTGAATATTCGTCTCCTGGGTACTATCTGTCGTCGTCCAAGTTCCTGTGCCTTCGATGAGCATGAGGAGGGCCTCGAAGCGTATCACACTCGTATCCGTATCGACACTCACTTCCAGGAGAGTCGGATGGCTGTGAACAAATTGGAACAAGGACCGGGGATTCGACAAGAGGGATTGGACTAAGAAGACTGTCAAATTCGGAAACCGGCACGACTTCATACAGTCATTCACCAAATATGCAGGCATATTATGGAGGGATAGAGTCGTTATAAAGCTGTATGACAGCACACGAGGATAACTGGGAAGATCATGTCCATGCAAGCAATTGCCCGCAAACAAATGGACCTCCGATAAGCTGGGAAGTTGCTCCAGCATAGCACGAGGCCACCCTTGGCAGGAACCCACAGTCAGTTTACGTAACTGACTGCATCGTCCCAGCGCATTGATCATGGATTCGTCCAGGAGGATATATGGAAAGTCGAATTCGGTGAGGTAGGTGAATGGGAAATTCCCGTTGGGTAGCCATGATGTCGGTAGATAGGAACTCCAGTGTGGGTATTTGCTCCACGTCCTCAATGATCTGTATAATTAGCTTCATTAATCTCCATGATAGCAAATGTTTGATTTACTAATCTCACCTAACTGAAGTGGCCAGATAGTTGTCCTTTCCACCAGGGAGAAAGCGCGCCACAGCCACCTCGAAGTCTCCCTTGGGCTCCAAGGTAATTTCTCGAGATAACAGGCGAAGAGTGGTTTCTCGCAAACGTCGACTAACGCGTGAGAGGACCCAAGTCGCCCTGAACTTGTTGCATCCTGCATTCGACTCGTTGATGTAAAGGAACTCCACAATCTCCAAGAGAATTTCATACGGCAAGTCATCTAGTCGCTTTGAAGTCCGTGTGGCCATGGTATGAAGACGCTGCCGCTCTGAGGCGACAATAAGCCCCTTCCAAATTATCCCGAAGTCATGTTAGCTGCCACGCGTCCTAAACATTTAAGTAAGTATAAGAGATACATACCTTGTTATAAATTACGAAACCCTGTGATATATGACCAGTGACAGTAATAGCAAGGAGAACAAGATTACGGGCTTTTAACTTGGATGCATCACTGACTCTGACTATGGCATGGTGCAAGTCTGCAACCTGGTTACCGTCTGGGCCCACGGCCGGGATTGATCCGGCTGTTACGGGCCGCGCCACAAAGCCTATGAGCTTTCAAATTTCAATTCCGGTTCAGATCACGCAAAAAGACACGGGCAACAGGCACGATGGCAATATGATATAATTTATGCAAGAATGTGCTCAGCATCGTAATCCTCTATAACCTCCACCACCTCCCCTCCCTCAAGCCCAGGCGTTGCACTTTGCTTTCTCACTTTTATGGTTGGTGCAGACTCGTCTTCCGTATGAGGTTCAACATTCTGAGGGGTCCGAGGAGGGGCGGGTATTATAATCTCGGGAGGTGGTCCTGAAAAGTCTTTCCCGGTCATACGGGCGAGTGTTTGCATGTCTGCAACCGAACTTGTCAGCCTAGTGGAAGACATGACGTACATATGAGACGTACCATACGGTCTTCGGTTCTTCAAGCAGAACGTGATCCTGTTCGGATTACGTTTGTCCTCAACTTTGAATTTGTTTTTGCATGCCTTGCGGTCGCGCCCGGGTAAGACGTATGATATCAGTTCGTAGTTTTCGCCAAATTGCGATAGAGCCTGTGATACAAAGTACTGAGGTTCGATCAAAGAAAGCAAAACGCATCCTACATACGTCAAAGAACAAGTCCGTCTCTTCGGCACTCCATCTTGACCCACGAAGTTTCTTACTATAGCTCATGGAGTTCACAAATTTGGTAGTATCTGACTCTTCGACGTGAGTATAATTCACAGTCTCTTCTTCCTCATGGCGGTCGACGTATAGTGATGTCTCATCAATAATGGTTTCGCCATTGGGCCCAATGCGAACTTGGACATTATATCGACTGGTTGACACGGCCTGTGAGTAATCAAAATCATCGCCCCTCTGACCTTCAGTCTGTTCCGCCTCGGGGGAATGAGCTCGAGACGATAATGGCTCTGGGGCAGGCTGGCTTCCGCTTTCTCCTTTCGACGGAGGTTCAGCGGTCTCTGTATCTCCCGTTGGTGCCGCTCCCTCCTCCTCCCCTTCTCTACCGTACTTTTTCGCCTCCATCATCGCCCGCATACGAGCCCTTTTCTCCCGATTAGTTGCTCTCCAAGCAGCGTGGTTGGTGACAATTTGTGCGGCTTTACTACTAACGCGTCCGCGGCCTGTATCATCGCACAACTCTGCCATTGTCACTGCCGTCGGGTCTAACTCCTCTCCCGGATCTGCCTCGGGATCAAATGGAGGTACTGAAGGTGCACGGGACTGGCGCTTGCGAGGAGTACTGGAGCCGGTGGAAGTACGTTTCCTCCTCCTTGATTTCGGGCTGAGTTCTCGATCTTCTACAGACTGTTCCTCCACCAGAGTACCTTCAGTATTTGACGAGGGGCGAACAGCTCTCTGCAGTCGCGGGGTAGCATCGTTAGAAGTAGAAGGACCAGCGCTGTCTGCGTTTTGTTTTGATTTCGACCTTCGCTTCCCACGAGAAGTTGGTCTTGTTTGTGAGTCAACCTCATCGCTCACTTGGGTTGAGGAAGACACTTCCTGCTGTGAGGCTGTGGCCTGGCTCTCGGATTGGTTGGCATTCTGCAAAACAGTGGTGATTGCCTGCAACAGAGCAGGGTCTATTTGAGCGTCACTGATAGGGACGCCAATTTCAGCTGGCGGGCTGACGAGGGTAGGTATTGGCGCTTGGGTCTTCGACGATGGGTTAGACTGGACAGAGCCTGCGTCGGTGCGAGATGGCTGACCAACTAGTCTGGGTGCAGGGGTTGTTCTTGAAGGTGTAGAAATAGGTGTTGGGATGGATATAGGATCGCCGCTGTGAGTTCCTGAGTGTATTCGAGGGGGTACAGGGGTCGATGAACGGGACGCTGTGAATGACTGGATGGCAGGGGGACGAGCAGAGTGTCTTGAGGGGACGCTAATAGGTGAAGCAGTTGAGTGAGAATTACGTGTGTTTAAGGCAATGGGGGTGGTAGGGATGTCGTCCATAGCAATATGAGCACCATCTGAGTCTGCAGAAGACAGCTGGGAAGAGAGCCGTCGCGGAATCATGCTCGGAGGAAGCATAACGGCCGCGTGAGGCCCTGAGCTGCTTGATGCGCGTGCCACATCTGAAGCAGAAGGCAATTGGCGGACTTCGCTACCAAGACGGGCTCTCGCTTTCGTTACAGGTCTGAAGACTGTGTTTCCTTTCTCTGTAGGTATCTGATG